AGCGGTCTTGTGCCTAATTCCTCTGGCAGATCAGGGTTAGGGTTTGTTTTAGAAATAGGGTTTCAGTTTCTGTTTATTTGAGGGAAACATAGGTGTCGAACCTTTAAACTCCCTATTTGTTACGAGGAAGCGAATTATGTCAAAAAATTGAAAATGGAAACATCAAACAGCTACAGAAGTTTTTTTTCAGATTGACAAAGTTTTCGAAACCAGACAGATAAACGAATTGTTCCAAGTGTTAAAAACATTAACGTTACTAAATGTGCTGTACAGTAGTCTGTCCGTGGATAATTGGTGCTATCTCAGTTTCTGAGGGAGACGAATTGAATGCCAACACTCACGTTCAACGGATCTGGGGCAATAATACGAAACTGCAATACAGGCAGTAATATAATAACATTAATAAACTGTTCGAACGAAATGCTAATACGATGTCCGTCAGGTGACATTATGACGTTTAGTGGTGCACTGGTCCAACTTGCGCTTAAAAGCCTCGACGGAGGTGGACATGAAGACATCTGCAGGCAGAACAGTCCAAGTCTCGATCACTCTGTTTGAAAAGAAAAACCTCCGAATGTCCAGCCTGGCGCCAGTCACACGTAGTTTAAGTGGATGACCTCGGAGGTTCAATGTGGTTGCTAACTTAAAGAAATCAGCAGGCAAGAGACAGCAGTCCTGGCCACGCATTATACGGAATGTTTGTATAAGGTCGCCTCTTAGCTGTCTGTAACTCAGTGGAAAAAGGCCGAGATTGGATAGTCGTGTTTCATAGGCCAGTGAACCCTGTCCACTTACGAGTTTGGTTGCCCGCCCTTGAACTTTCCTCTGGAAGTTAAGGGTTAGATTTTGCTTTAGAACTAGGGTTGGAGTTACGGTTGGGGTTTGGGCTAGAAGTAGAGTTAGAATTGTTAGAGTTAGGATTAGGACACAGTTACTGGCACCCCCAGGAATTTAGCGTAAGGCCACCGGTAATTCGGTGTGGTACCTATCCCCGTATTCAACCATGTTCTTCTGTCTCACGCTTCTCGCATTCCTAGACAACTTTCCGCTGCTCGATGGAGTAGGACGAACAGGTGCATTGTCACAGAGACGTGGGGAAGTTCGACTTCTGGGCGCCCGACAAGTCCCCGCACACGTGTTCCAGCTCATCCGTCCAGTGTGATAGTAACCAGCATTACCAGTAGGTATAACTTGCGCAGTGCTTACCACACTCTGTTTTCTCACGTCCCCTATGCTTCACAGTCAAGGCTAGGCCAATATGTTTGAAGATCAGCTTGAACTAGGAGTTCTTTCCTCTGCAGTGGGCCCCTATCATGAGCGGTCTGGCGTCATTGTTCAAGACCTCGCTGCCTCACGGTCATTCACCCCTTGCAAGGAGCCGTCCCGGACGACCTGACCTGAAGCCACTCAACCGACTTCATCTCGGACACAATTGCGTCCATACAGCATCGCAGCTACCCATGCGCCACTTGAAGGCCCCACCCCCTGCAACCAGCATAACAAGCCATTGGGACACCACCCCTCGGCAAATGCAACAGGCACTGACTGGACACCGCTTGAGCTTGACCCACGAGCCTACAAAAGCGACTGCCACCACTATCTCCGGTACTCTCAGGCATGACTGGACGCAGTGAACACCAGCCCTGGCTTCGCCAGTGGCCACTGCCGCCTGAGAGGACAACTCCGGGTTCTGTGCACAATAAACCCCTCATTCTGATGCCTTCTGTCTCCTCCTTACGACTTGGGATTCGACCTCGTGGTTGTAGTGCTCAGAGCTCCTACTCTCGCCGCTTGGTCACAACACCTTCTCCTCCTTCGCATTGTGGTCGTTCAGTTGACATGAACCCACCCTCAATTACTCGGACATCCTGTGAACGGAAACTGCATAGGGCCATATTAGGAATGATTCTCTATGACCAGATCGCCTGTCCTGGAGAGCATGTTATCCCACCCACTGACAGCGTATCTTTCTGCGGATTTTAAGGCTTTGCGCTGGCTCACAGGGACGTTAGATTTGCTGAATTGCTCAGAATTGGCTTTACTCTCCCTCTCTCGCTCTCTCGCCCTTGCATCTCTCATAGCGTGCCAGTAAAAGATCCCAGTCAAACGGCGTGGCGGTGGGATCAAGCGCAGGCATTTCGCTCTCACCTCTCGCCTGTCGGAAGCTCAAATGAGACACCACCCGGACTCCGCTCACGCGGATATCACATCATAGCACAGCACTTACTACTCTTTGGAGCGATGGAAAAGTTAGTTTCTCGACCACGACAAAGGTGACAAGAGAAGTGTAAGGCGGGGGGAGGAGGAGGAGGAG